AACGGAGTGCACCTGTCTGCATTCTGATGAGGCAAACGCTCTCCTTTTGCTCCTTGACGGTACAGCGGTATGCGCTCACAAACTATTACACAGAAAGAGTCTGCTCCACACATTCACTGACTAGACAAAAAATCTTAAGGATGAAATACAGTCTTGTCATCATCAGAAAATATAATTTAAGACAGAACATAATCTAAAAACAAAAGGAGAGTGTGAGTTTATTGTTTCAGTTGGAAAGTGCTTCAGAGCTAGCTTAATCTGCTCTCTCTTTTGTGTCCTGACACTACTCCCTGTCGAGATAAAACGCTGAAACATCACAAACTGCACCCAGCCCTGCTGCTCTACAAAGATATAAAGATGAAAGGTGTAATAAAGAACAGTACTTTACACTCACATCGAGTTAGCTGATATCATGACATATCGACAATTAGACAGTTGACAGCTATGATGCTACTCTCTAAAAAGCAATGAAAGGAGAAGGGACACTTAGATGGACTGACAGTATTACATTGCAGATGTGGCTTTTGTAGTCTCTGATGTAGATTGGGTGCTTGAGTAATCCTTAATTGGGTGACAATAATTAAATAAGCATTTCTAGCTAGCTACATGAAGCATGCTAATCGTGCTAGCGCTCGTTTGTCAATCGTTTTGTGCCAACATTAGCATATTCTTGCGCAAAAGTGCGATTGTCAACATGGTATATTTTATTTTTTGACATTAAGCGTTATACCTGCTAAACATTGGCCTATTTTAAAAGCTCCAGCAACACCGGTAGTATGAAATCAACTAATTAAAATATGAGAAATTAAACCAACCAGTGATTCTCTTGCTGACGAGGGAGGGTGACAATGCTTAATCGCTTAATAGACCAATTGCCCACATGCTAGTGTTAGCTCGAATCTAGCATTTAGCTCGAAGCTATGCTGAGCTTAAGTGCAGTCAAACGGAGCTGACTGTCAAGTTCAACAGATTTAAAATGCATTGCTTTGGAACTGATGCATTTTTTTTTTTCTAAATTCATGTATTGCAAGCAGTCGTAAAAAGGGGACAGTAGCATCAATAGCAAGCTAACCGTGTATCTCCACCTTGTTTTGTCTTCACTTCCGTGCTGTGACTCTCAAAGAGGGTTGTGTGTCTCAGCCTGTTAGCTTTGCTCCCTGGACACTCATCCCTCAACTCTCTCCCCTCCGCTGACAGAAAGCAGCCGCCACCTCTCCTGTTTCCTCTCCAAGCACAGGCTTTACAAATTCCCTCTGATTTACAAGGTCATAAAACTCACATCCTCCTCCTCCCTCTCTCCTGCTTCAATCGGCCTCTCCGGCTTAAGCAGTTATTTTATAACTCCCTAAGCACACGCTCCTGTACAAGGCTGCCGCAAGTGATCTGCTTCCTAGTTTCAAATTGCAAGTTGCATGTGCAGGGAGCTGTTTACATCCAGGACGAGTACATACATATGAATACACAGATTCTGTTCCCACATGGGCTTAAACAGGAAAACCATCTTGTATTGGTAAACACTCTACTTTATGATGTGCTGACAGCCAAGACTGGACTGAAATGAAGTTGACACACCATTATTAACTTCTGTGTAAACGCTCAGGGTGCTGTGGATGAGTTCATTTGAATGTGCCGAAACCACGGCCACTCGCATTTGTCAAAAAATTGCAATTCACATTCTTGCATCCAAGGAAGATGCACATGCAACGAAGGCCTAGCTAGCTTGCAAAAGTGCAGACTCTTATTTTGAAACCTGTAGTTACTCATGATCGAGTGGGAGAACCGAAGATGCTAGGGCGGTTTATGAATGATAATGTGCAGGACCCCCATTTGGCCCTGCTGGAAGAAACACAGAACCTGATATTGATTAAATACTTACTTAGCAGCATACATCTCTGTAGTTCTTAGTCTTTTTACATGTTTACAGCGCCTTTTTTCCAACATTATTAGCATGTTTTCCTTGTTTGCCAGAGCTGGGGACTATTTCTTTTTTTTTTTTTTTTTTATAAATCTTTCAACATTTTTAAATGCATTTTTCTCCTCTTTTTTTTTTCCAGCGTGTGTGTGTGTGTGTGTGTGTGTGTGTGTGTGTGTGTGTGTGTGTGTGTGTGTGTGTGTGTGTGTGTGTGTGTGTGTGTGTGTGTGTGTGTGTGTGTGTGTGTGTGTGTGTGTGTGTGTGTGTGTGTGTGTGTGTGTGTGTGTGTGTGTGTGTGTGTGTGTGTGTGTCACGCTTCAGAGAGCATCTGGCAAGTGATGTCCTCTGACCGTAAACCTTTGTGTGGCACTTGCCTCGAAGGGTCATGGCAATCTTATGTTCTTCTGCTGCACACACACACACACACACACACAAAGCTACTCAAGCAGTGAAAACAAACACCGCACACATCCTGCTGCCTTAAGAGACTTCGTGATGTATTTTCTCTCGGTCTTTGACATTTGTTTAAACAATTTTCTTTGCAAAAAAATAAGTTTCAGCTTTTCTTTTTCATGCGCAACCCTCTAAAGATTCTCAAAGTGTGTGTGTGTGTGTGTGTGTGTGTGTGTGTGTGTGTGTGTGTGTGTGTGTGTGTGTGTGTGTGTGTGTGTGTGTGTGTGTGTGTGTGTGTGTGTGTGTGTGTGTGTGTGTGTGTGTGTGTGTGTGTGTGTGTGTGTGTGTGTGTCTCTGAAGGTTGGCACCAGAAACTCATTTATAAATCCCTTCATACACGCACACACAACAAATCCTTGCTCTCCTGAGTGAAACGATTACGGGATAGAGATTCACCTTCTTAATTAGGACTTTTATCCGTTTCTTTCTCACACACTCACTCACACTCACACACATTCACAGCAGGCTGCTTTAGTTACAGCAGACTGGCTGGAGGCATCAGATAGCCATGCCTCCAGGGACTCTGACGAGCGGCTACCTGAAATTTAAACCTGAAAAGGAAGCACTGAAGTGGACACACACATACACACATTGTCAGGGAGTACAGAGAAATGTCCTGGAGGCAAGACTGGTTCAAAGGCGGGCTTGTGTAAATTGTTAAGGCATAGCTTGAACAATAATGAGGAGTTCCCGCCTGCCTCATGAGTGCTGAAACTATCGGTAATCCATAATATTTTGGTGTGTATCAGTGTGTGTAAACATAGTGCTGAAGGCACCTCTGAGGCATCCTGTCATTAAGGTAGAAAACGGCCGGCTTTCATCTATACTGCCACCTTTTTAAAAGCTTTCAACCGTAGTGTGAGTCGCTCCCATATGGATGTGGAAATGACAGTGAGAAAAAAATAATAAATAAATTTTTGCTCTGAATTCCAGCAGGAGACACGGGGGAATATTTTGTGTGCAGATTTGCCTGGGTTTGAGCAGCAGTCGTGTCCTCGTTTTTTTTGAAAATCAAAGTCTTGCTGTGACTATCTCAGTGAGGGGACGATCAAATGACTTTTATTGTAAAAGCTTGTTTCCATCCAAACTGATTAACCTGACTTATTTTTTTAAATACGCTCATGTGGGTCTACTATGAGCATCTTGACAGGGTCTGCCAACAACCCTGTCAAGGGGCGGCTTTGGCTGTGGCTCAGTTGGTTGAGTCGGTCGTCTCGGGTTTGATCCCCACCTCCTGCAGTGTATCCTTGAACAAGATACTAACCAAGTTTTCTCTCTGCTTGGTCACTTCATATAGCAGCCTCTGCCATCAGTGTGTGAATGTGTAGGTGTGACCTGCGGTGTTAAAGCACTTTGAGTATTCAGAAGGCTAGAAAAGTAACTTACAGTATGATACTGTAGGCCAGTCCAAGAAGCTACTGACCCAATTCTTAAAGTCAATTATTACTTTAGGGGTATAGTTATGAACATAATTTCATAACCCTAGCCCAAATAGTTTCCGCTTTAATAAATGCTGGACTGTTATTAGCTTGATCCCAAATTCAAAGCCCTCCATCAAAGAACGCAGAGGCAAAGTGCAACCCCTGCAGTAAATTCAAGGAACATTTAAAGTGCCCTTGAAGATGAAAGCACACTTGAAGCGAGAGGAAAAAGGGAGCATTAAAAACATTTGTATGGAGGGCTGCAAATAAATGGTCTCCAAGGGTCTTTGCCAAGGTGGAAGTAATAAAAACAGATAAATAACACTGAATAGAAAATATGGGCAAGTAGACATGATTATTTCACATTATGAACTGACTCTAATATAGAAACTACATACTCAAAATATACATTCTCACACTGCATGCTAACCCACCCGTTAGTATGCCGAGTACTCCCGGTCAGAGCTCCATTCGATGAGCTAGCATCAAGCTAGCTTCAACAATATGTCAACATTCATTACTCTCACAACTACGTACTCATGTTAACATTATTTGCCAACATTGGAAATGTTTTTCAGCATGAAGCCATTGTTTTAGTTTGAATCTTACCACCCTGTAAATGCACACATCTGTGCATCCTGTTGTTTGCAAATTGATTCAAAATATCCAATTGTGCAAGCTGATGTGACCCCGATGACATCACTATGACATCATCGGTAGGCTGGATTTGACTGACATTATAAAGGAAGCTGAGCTTTATAGGCTTGCTTTGAATGCTTTATTGTCTTTGAACAAGGACATCAAGGAACAGGTGGACTTTAATAACAATAGCAGGGTTTTTATGTGCACTGATGCTCCTCATACAGGGTTATTTTTAGCTCGGCTTGCCATTGTGGCCAGATGGTCAGTCAGGTAGCTTGAACAAAAGTTCACCAGGCCAGAGAATAAAAGTAATGATACTGATCCCCTCATAAAAGATTGGTTTGTTCAACGAGTTATGGGTTACACAAGCTTAATCTAATCGAAATGCTTTGTTTTTTAATACTAAATAAATCCAATATCCTGCCAGGGTTTTTTTTTTTTTTTTGCAGCAGCAGCAGCAGCAAGTGATGTTTTTTAATGGAGTGACTCACTCATCAGATAAGACCTTCAAATCTGTCTTCATGAATAGTGATCGTGAAAGTACTGAATGTTCCCTCCCCTGTTTGTTCCAGGACAAAAAGAAATACCTGGACATCATCCACAGCTACATGGAGGTCCACGGCACCGTTCATGGCACCAGCACTGTGCACCTCCCAAGCTACGTCAAGAACCACGGCATCCTGAGCGGCCGAGACCTGCAGTTCCTCCTCCGAGAAACCAAGGTGAGTCGGCCCAGATGGAAAGTAGATCTAGAGCATGGGTTCCATAACTTTTCAGCCCTGGACATAATAATATTATGGTGTTTGTGCTACTGCGTGGTGTTCTAATGCCAGTGTCTAGCGAGTGTCAAGCGAGTGTCTAGCGACCCCCACTTTGGGAACCACTCGTCTAGAGTGATAGTAAAAGTGAGTCATTGTGTCTAAAATCACAGACGCCTACTGTAATTATTTCAAATGACATCCCAGTGCTACAAAGTTGCTTTAAAAGGTCAGTCACTTGTTCTGGGTGGCTGCAGTTTGTCCAAGTCTGTCCTCAGTCCAGCCGTCCACAGAGAGACTTCTCCATTCACACCATCACTTGTCTCTTCTTCTCTGAACTCAAACTGCTCTCCTTCCCAAAGACAAAGACACAGCCACAGAAAGTGCAGAGCGACTGTATTGTACAATGTGTGGCTAGCTCTTTGTTAAACACACACACACGTCCACAGAATACACATTGAGCTGTTGAACATAACAAATAGCTTTGTTTTGTCACAGTGCTGAAAGCTGGGTCTAGCGGAGTTCTCATGTTGCATTCAAATCGACTTCAGACGATCCATGAGTTATAAATCCTTAACTTCAATCTTGATGCATTATATACAAGACAGTTTTGGCAGTTCCAGCTCAGTTGTTACAGACTCCTTCCAACCTCAGCTGTGTGCACACTTTTTTTTTTAGGGGTTATAAAATATAGTATCAGATCAGGCCAGCAGATTTTCCAGGGTCTACCTTTCTTGTCTGCTTTTAACATAGTGGAGAGCATTAACATGTCCTGTAGGGAAACTAAATTTAGATCACATGAGCCTCAAAAACCTGGCAACATTGTTTGCTGAAGGGGAAAACCATCATTAGTGCTGGCTTTGAAGGGATGTATTCTGTTTTTTTTTTTTCTGGCTCCAGTCGTCATCCTTTTCAAAAGAATAAGGTGGAGGGAGCTTCGATTTCTTAACCTTTGAAACCTCATACTTTCCCATCAGACCAGGGGAGGGAGGAGAAGCCGACGGAGAGGAGCGACATCAGACGAGAGCTGCGACATTGATAGAGAACGCAAGAGAGCACATAGATCATGATTCAGGCCAGCTTTAGAAAAAGGATGGGTTGAGGTTTCAGCCTCCTTTTGTTCTGCAAAGATTCCAAACAGTGATGCAGCTTAATATGATTGCCTGGCTGGAAGAAGCCAGCTTTGTTTTGAGCACATGAACCCGTTAATGTGGAGGCATTGACGGAGGAGACGAAGGGGGAATCAGCGTCTTTTTTTTTCATACTCTCAAAGGCTGCTGAGAAAGAGTGGCTTTATTATTATATTCACACAGACATCAGGATCGTCTTTACCAGTCACTGGAAATATTACAAACTTCTATAGTATCTACTTTATCATCAGACATTTAAGAAACATGTCAACAATACAGCAGCCAGTATGTCCTCCTTCTAAGTTAAGATTCCAGTGCTCTGTTTTCTGTTTTGACCTGAGAATGTATGCGGCTTCAAGGCCGTTTTGGAGCACCCTCATTTGCCAGGCAGACGGCAAACCAAAAGGTGTTGTAGTGATGGAAGAAGGCTAGCAAACTGGTTCAAATATAACTGATTCTACCCGACCTAAACAGCCTCAGCATTCTTCTAAAAAAAAAAAACTCCAGGACAATAAACGTGGTAAATCTAGGATGAATATTTGAAAAATGGAGATCCGATACAGTGCTGGCTAAACACTGAAGCTTCTCTGTCCTGCACATAGCCAACCGCGTGAGCATCGACTCTAAGGAGGAGGGGGCAGCGCTTTTTGAACTGCAGTACCCATTTTAAACACCAGGTGTCAGAGCTCCATATTGCTCCTTTAAAGGGGCAAAGGGCAGAGCATAGTGGGCGGGATGGGATATAGACCCGCCCCTTAGACCTGAGCTTATTGGCCTTCTTGGGTTGAACTATTCCAGAGTGAGTATATTGTCAAGACACTCGCGATTGTGGATTTGTTTTTATGAGGAAGAATGTCGCCAGTGACATCTGACATTTGATTATCTCTCCAACAAAATGTTCCTGAAATAAACTCTTGACGTTGCCGTGCCGTATCTAGGGGGGGAAGTGTCAATGATCAAACCAAAGCTTTCCTGCGTCATGTTGAAGGCTGACAGAGTCAAAAGGTTTCAGATATTTCTATCTGTCTAGCTCTTTATTTTTTCTGCCTGCCTCTTGTTCGTTTCACATGTGCTTCTCATTTTCTCTTTCCTCCACACCCACTGCTTACACATTAACCAGAGATCTGTTTATGAAACTGGCAAGGAACTCGTTTTGTAAAGTTGTCTTAACCAATTTCAACTCTGCCTTTTTTGTTTTTCTACATCCATGTTGTCATCACAATTTTGCAAAGTAGAACACATAAACATCCCATGGCAGGTGCTGGAAATAGAAATTCAAAGCACTAACAGCTTAATTAGCCCTGCAGCTCATTAGACTCAGTGTACTGTAAGTTTTACCTGATGTGGCATGGGGCTTACAGGGCCAGGAGACTTCATAGGCTGAGGTTTAAACTTGATACAGTTTCTTTAATTGGAGCTCTATTTTGTCCCCATTCTCACTGAACTGGAACTCTTACAGGATCATTGATGCAAAAGCTTTTGCAACACTGCTGATGTGTGAAGAAAGGAAAATCATTTAATATTAAGTATCAGATATTCCAGTCTCTTCTTTTTAGGGCCTTTTATGCTAATAGAAGATGTAAGTGGAGACATTTTTCAAAGTTAAATGAGCATCCTTACAAAGGAATCATAGTCTTTTATGTGTATATTACATACTCAAGCATGTGGGCCTCTCGTATATGAAGATTAGTCTCACATTTATTAATGTAACAATGTTTTATATTATGATTTATTACTTGTTTTTTCTAAGGCCCAATTTACATCATATGTAAGGTAATAAAAATCAACCTATGAGCTTCTTTTTCATTTTGTTCATCTATACATTTTAGACCAATATTATACTTTTGACTCCACAACATTTAGGATATTTAACAAGCTAAGTCACTATTGCTACAAGTAGACTGGCTGTAGCTCTAGTGAATAAGCCTGCTGTACTGTATTACCAACTGTATTACCAACTGTATTACCTGGATGTAAACAGGTACAGTGAAGGGATAGCATCTGGATGGAGCAGTGCCATGTGGCAGTATTTTGATCTAGACTGTGTCACATTCAGGCATGTGAATGTTAACCCGCAGGGAGGAAAGAAGACTTTCATGGCTAGCGATGCTAACCTTAGCAAAACTGGGCAAAACAAATCTTTTTGCTTCACTGTTTTCTGAGTGTTTTCTTACCTTAAGTCAAAAAGTCAAACAAAATGTATATACGTTTAGCCAACTAGGGACTTAGTCAGCTAGGAACATCTGTAGTTACAAGATACTTGAAATAGTAATCAATGGACTTGATCGTGTATACAGTGGTAATTTGCATATTTCAGCGCATTATGTCAGTGCAAGGTAGTTTGGCTTCACTTTTTTTCTTACAACAAAAGGAGACTGAGATGCTTTGTCCATATTTATATACAGTCAATGGATGGCATTTGTTTGAACCCCAGTTGTAAATGAACCTGAGCTTGTGTTGCACTTTTCTAGTCTTCTGGATACTCAAGGTGCTTTTAAACCGCAGGTCACACCTACACATTCACACCCTGATGGTAGAGGCTGCTGTGTAAAGAGTCCATCAGTATTAACTCATCCATTCATACACATTCACACACTGATGGTAGTGGCCGCTGAGTAAAGAGTCCATCAGTATTAACTCATCCATTCATACACATTCTCATGCCGTTGAGGAAGCAGAGGGAGCAACTTGCGGTTAAGTGTCTCGCCCAAGGTCATGTCGGACATGTGGCTGCACATGCAGGAGCCGGGGATCGAACCCCTGACCTTGAGCCTCAGCCACCCCAAAATAGGATGCATTGTTATGAATGAAAGCCTCTGCAGACCAATGAACAAAAACAAGGGGATGATGTACTTCTTAAAGAGAAGCATTTCAATGGTTGTGTGGCATTTGTCCTTTAGCGCCTGTGACATTTAATTGCTGTTCTATAATGTCACCCTTCATACTGGGTGTTGCAGCACTTGCATGTGTAATGGATAAGGATCGGGATTTAAATGCACGCTAAGGCGGGCATTTCATAAGGGAGTGAAAAAAAAATCAATAGAACAACGGCTCAGATGTGTAACGTTGCATTCTTTATTCAGAGTGTCCTTGACGTGCTGCACTAAGGTAAATATACAAAGCAGCTTTTAGAGAGCCTTTAGGTAAATGCCACAATTCTTACTGATTCCTCATTTGAAATCTGCGAATGTCACATAGAAGATGCAGGCATCATTCATACTACCTTTTCATCACCACAGATTTGCTGCTTTTCTTCTCAGCCATGGCAGCTCTCTCTCTCTCTCTCTCTCTCTCTCTCTCTCGCTCTCTCTCTCTCTCCTCATCCCCTCCCCTCTTTGCTCCCTATAAATAGTGGGTGACTGTTTCCTAGCATTGAAGTGCTTCTGCATGCATGCACAACATCCAGACACTTGAAGGGGAGTGAAAAAAAAGGATGTGCTTTGCTGCCCCCTGTTGGCAGGAAGTGTGCAAAGCTAACAAAGCTGCTAACTAGAAACAATTTGATAATTTCACACATGCACCAGGAGAGAGTAAAAATCCACTTGTTTGGTGTGATTATTTAAAAAAACAGACTCTGCACTATACTGCACTGTTTGTTAAAGCAACACTGTGTCATGTAGAAGTGAACTGTCTGCTGCAGTGTTATGGTCACCTCATGCTGGACAATGCGAACACACACAGACCGGCCATTGTAGCCGGGGCCAACTCTGGCCCTCCAGTAAATGAGCCACTCGCCTATTGTCCCCCCCCCCCCGACAAACAGCCTTTCCTCCATCCCTCCCTCGCCCCCTCTCTCTTTCAGGAGAACTGTCTCTCTCATGTTGACAAGCTGGCTACCACTTCTGCCGGCTTGTGAATATTTGCTTTTCCCTTTCAGCACCTAGTTTATTTACATACCTACTGTAGAGTATGTACTTTTTTTAATTATTTTTTTTTACTTTTATTCACCAAAATGTGCATACACACACTCACACAATAACAAAAAAGAGATACAAACAAGAGGGGAGCTGTGGTACGATACAGTTTTGCAAGCAGATTTAGACACAAACAAACAAACAAGCAAACAAAACAAAACAAAAGGAAAATGGTCAGTAAATAAAACAAATGAATTCGAAAGACAGACAAAATAAGTAAATGAGCAAACAGGACAAAAAGAAAAACATGGGGACAGTATAGTAACAAAATGATGTAAAATAAAACTGGTGGGATAGGTTGTACACATGGTGGAGATTTTTGGTGTTATTTGTTTGTTTTTCACTTTGTATGGGTGCTAACATGAGGATTGCCTAATACAGACTGTAGAGTATGTACTTAAAGTAAAAGCGGCTAGACGAGGACTAGTTTGTGACCTCCAGAGAGGACAGTTTCAATAAATCCTTAGATTTCATTTCAAATAGGCCATGCTGTAAGTCAGATTTGTAAAGTGCTCTTATTGGACTAATGAGGTACTGTTGTTTGATCTGCATAGTGTCCCAGTAATCCCTCTTTACTGTCCTTACACTGCTGCGTCTATATAACACTCACTTGTTTCACAAAGTAAAAAATGCTGTCCCTGCTGGTTTTTTTTCTGCTGATAACACGGGAGGTTTGCATCAACAATGGCTAACTGCTGCTATCAGCAAACAACAGAAACTCCTCAACACAGCCAGGGAACGTCTTACCCAGCTAACCCGCCATGCTTACCGGCTGCTTAGTCTTTCTGCTTATTTCTGAAGTTGCAAAACTGTCAGCTCTCAGGACAGTGCCATGTGGCATCTCCCTCCTGCCTTCAGTGTTGAACATGTTCCTATGAGCACCATGTAGGGAGGCATAAGTCCTCAAGAGCGGGCATCCAAGGTTCGATTCCGACCTGTGGATCCCCACTCTCTCTCTCTCTCTCTCTCTCTCTCTCTCTCTCTCTCTCTCTCTTTCTGTCTCCCTCTCTCTCTCTCTGTCCCTCTCTCTCTTCTTCTATCTCTAACTCTCTCTCTCTCTCTCTTTCTGTCTCCCTCTCTCTCTCTCTGTCCCTCTCTCTCTTCTTCTATCTCTAACTCTCTCTCTCTCTCTCTCTCTCTCTCTCTCTCTCTCTCTCTTTCTGTCTACCTCTCTCTCTCTCTCTCTTCTCTCTCTCTTTCTGTCTACCTCTCTCTCTCTCTGTCTCTCTCCCCCCTCTCTCTCTCTCCTCCCCCCCTCTCCCCCTGGTTTCTGTCTTGATCTTAAGTGTGAACACAGGAAAAGTCAGGGTTGAAATTTATCCTGACGCAGCTCCTTAAGCAGCGATTTAAAATAAATAAAACAAAAAGGCTAATGCTTCAGCTTGTTCTCTGTGTTTTCTCTCCACTTTAGTTGTTTGTGGGCCTTTCCTTCCCCTACGAGGGTCCCGCCCCCCTGGAGGCCATCGCCAACGGCTGCGCTTTCCTCAACCCCAAATTCAACCCGCCCAAAAGCAGCAAGAACACCGACTTCTTCAAGGGCAAACCCACGCTGAGAGAGGTGACAGGACCTGCACATGACCTGTGACTTAAAGGTGAAGGCCTTAAAGGTTTTTTTTATTTACAACCTCTGCTCTCTCTCTCTCTGCAGCTGACCTCTCAACATCCGTACGCTGAGGTGTATATCGGTCAACCGCACGTGTGGACGGTGGATATCGAGAACTCTGCAGAAGTGGAGAAGGCCATCCGCTCCATCCTCAGCCAGAAGGTAAAAACTGAAAACGACTGAGACTGTCCTGACATCTCTGTTTTGTATCTGAAGCAATCTTGTATCTGGTGTTAAATCATTAACAGGAAATAATTTCATTACTTGGGTTCAGCCTGTTATGAGAGCCTTAATTTCCATACCATTATACCCTATTTGTTGTCTGTAAGGCAACCCCTGTACCCCCCCCCCCCCACTCCCCTGGCCTCACACTGCTCCAGGACTAACCTCTTGTTACCCTAAGTGAGTCCTTGCATAGCTACCTTTTTTAAACCATAAGAAGAAGAAGTAAATCCTTTCCTTCACAGCGTCCTTGTCCCATGCATATTTAAATCCGGGGCGGGGGGGGGGCTCGGGACCCTGTGTTGTGTTGCACTCCGCCTGGCGAGCCGGAACAATGGCTTTGTTCACTGGACAAGCCTGCAGAGTCTCATATGCTTCGTGATCCGTGGCAGAGCTACAGCCTACCAGGCTCCAGCTTGGCTCGTGCACACACACACACACACACACACACACACACACACACACACAGAGAGCAGCAAGTGACTTGGTTCTGCAACAAAGGCTTCAGTTGTTGCTGCTCACTGCTTGAACGTTCCTCTGCTAATGAGAGTCTGTGGACGTCGACAGGACTCACAGGAAAGTACAAAGAGGATGGCAGACACACACACACACACACACACACACACACACATTAACATTCACAGATACAGTGGGGAAAAAAATGCCTGTCTATTGTCAGAGTTGTGTAAGCTCAATCAATCTTTTTTTGGTCTCTCTGTCTGACCTTTGTGTTTTCTGTTTGTGTGTTCAGATTGAGCCCTACCTGCCTTATGAGTTCACCTGTGAGGGGATGCTGCAGAGAGTCGACGCCTTCATCGAGAACCAGGTACCGCCTCCCCCTACTCTTAATTAAAGTTGCGATATGTCCAAAATTCAAAACACTGAAGAGAGCCGTCCAACTGTCCAAATACAGCTGTGGTTCTTAAGTAATGCCTCAGTTGTTTCAAAGCTCCCCCCGTGTTGCGCTGAGATGCACTTCCTGTTGTGTGACATCATTATGTTTTTTTTTTGTCGTCAGGACTTCTGCCACGGTCAGGTGATGTGGCCTCCGCTCAGCGCTCTGCAGGTGAAGCTGGCCGATCCCGGGCGCTCCTGTAAGCAGGTGTGTCAGGAGGAGCAGCTCATCTGTGAGCCATCCTTCTTCCAACACCTCAACAAGGACAAGGACTTGGCCAGGTGGGACTCCACAGACAGACACACAGACAGACACACAGACACACACACACACACACACACACACACACACACACACACACACACACACACACACACACACACACACACACACACACACACACACACACACACACACACACACACACACACACAATACATAGAGACAAAAACAGGTATGAAAGAATGTCTCTTGTTGTCCTAAAAGTGTCCATTAGGTGGCAGCACATTACAGATTTTAATTTATATCTTGTCATAAAGTGTAAGCTGCAGTACCATGTTATTACCACTGGAGGGCACTGTGTGTTCACATGTGTTCATGCCTGATTAAGTGGAACATGACTGGACTTGAGTGGATTCATCTTCTCTCTTGCAGCTTTTTATTAACCCTCTTGTATCACTATGGATATTTTTGTCCATTTGGTCAAATGTTTCCTCTTCATCTGGTTATCATTTTGTCTGTGTCAGTGCATATGGCACCATTTTTTGTAAGAAAGTCTCTCTCTTGACACATTTTAGAATGCACATTTTATTTTCTTTAATAGATCAATAGAACACTGTGAAACATGTTTACTACCCTCTTAAGTCATTAAGGAAAAAAATGTCCACTTCCAAAAATCTGATATAAAAATAGAACAGATTGATATTTATTTCTTTTTTCTGCATACATCTCTTAAACAACTTTAGCCCTGCTCAAAACTATCAAATATTGAATCATTTTTAGGAATTTAACCCTTTAAATGCCAGACTGATTTTTAAAAAATCCCCCAGCCACCAAATATTTGTTATATGGAAAATAACTAATTTTTGTGTTTTTTTTCATGAATAACAACAGTGACATCAAGTAATCAAACTGGCATTTAAAGGGTTAAATTCCTAAAAATGATTCAATATTTGATAGTTTTGAGCAGGGCTAAATATGTCGAAGATTATCCAAAATATTGACTTTGATGCATTGTTAGTTTTTGTGTAGCATCAGATTTAAAATGTAGTTCCCTGTTTGGACAGTGGAGGGCCAAAATGTCCAATTTACAAAAACTGATATAGAACAGATTGATATTTTTTACTTTTTTTGCATAAATCTCTTAAACAACTTCAGCCCTGCTCAAAACTATTAAATATTAAATAATTATCAGGAATTTAACCCTTTAAATTCCAGAAACACATGAACAACTCTAAACAAAAATAACAAAAAGCATACTGATTAAAGGACGTGTGTGTGTGTGTGTTTCCGTCAGGTTCGGTGTGGACTGTCAGACAGTGGAGTCCAGCTCGGACACGGTGGTCCCGGCCTACAGCGAGGCTCGTCGCCACTGCATCTTCCAGTCGGACCTTCTGCTGTTCAGCTGCGCGGGCGCCCACCAGTCACTGCAGCGCGTCTGCCCCTGCCGCGACTACATGAAGGGCCAGGTGGCGCTGTGCAAAGACTGCCTATAGCAGGGACGCACACGCTGCTGATGGGAGGGGGCGGGGCCTGACAGAGGGGGTGGAGCATCATTTCATGGAGTTAAAAAAGGAGCAGCTTAACGAGTGTGTTTGAGAGACATGGACACACACTCCATGGGCATCATGCAGCTGTCAATCAAACACATGACAGAGGTTTTTTTTTGTCTGGATAGAGAAAAAAACATTCACACGACTGCAGGTGTTTGTCATATTTATTGTTTTTGTGAAACAGTCCTGCAGCCAAACTGGAGCACCCCTCTGATTCACCAGCGGGGGGCGCTGCGAGTCCTGGAAGCAGAGGAACTTTACTTGAATCAACAAAGGGAGTCACCTCAGACGATTTAAACCCTGACCCCGCCCCCCTTCACTCCTCCCTCTCTATCCACCTCCTCCTGGAATAATATCTAGACTGTTTATTCTTTAAGTAGGTTTGCACTGGACTGTCATGCCTGGAGGCTCGAACCCCCCCCCCACACACACCACACACACACACACACACACACACACACACACACACACACACACACACACACACACACACAGAACCCAGTTTTACACTGTAACCATCCTGTTCCTCTTCACTGAGAGCGGACATGTCATGTAGGTGTCGAGGTTTTTATTCTGATCACTTCCTGACACAAGCGCCAGACTCCCTTCACCCCGTTCAATCAGCTGCTGTGGATCGCTCACACACACACACACACACACACACACACACACACACACACACACACACAGTTCCTTGATTTCATGTCTTCAGTTCAACATATTTAAACGACTGACGTAAACTGAGCGCTTTGAAGAGAACAAAGTGTGTGTGTTTTTGGGGCCAGCTCCTCATTGGGTACTGGATCAGGGAGGGGGCGGGGCCACAGTGAACCATGTGATGAGTGGGCGTCTTAAAGCAGAGTTTACACCTTAGATGCAGGACAGCCTTCATGGCCAAAGTTTCCCGAAAGGCTGCAGAGAAACACTGACATGTTTACACACACACACACACACACACACACACACACACACACACACACACACACACACACACACACACACACACACACACACACACACACACACACACACCATCCAGCTGTCAATCATTTCAAGTCAACTGTAACAAGATGAAACCATGCCAACAAAGAGTTCCTGCGATGCAGAAAACCTCTCACTCCTCGTTTTATTTGATTCATCGTCGTTAGGCTTTTTTTTTTGCCTTTTTTTTTTTGCCTCCAGAACAAAAAAATTGAGATGAAATGAAAAGAATTAGTTGTTGATGTTGTGGTGAACGGGGAGGAAATGCACTACGTTAATCTATCCGCAGAGGTTTAACAACATACTAGTAACACTGTATATTGTTCATATGGGTTTGAAAGTTTTCCTTTTTTTTTTAATTTATTTTGTATACAGATCTTTATCTCTGTGTCTTGCTGGAAATCTTCTTTTTATTTATCGGAGCAGGTGTCTTTAATTTTTTTATTTTTTTTTATAGATTTTTATTTATGGATAGTAATTTAAGAAAAATTATAATAAACAAAAAAAAGCTAATGGGGGGGGGGTGTTGGCTTTGTGTGCTGTTGTTTCAGCTTTCAGCAGTGATGTGATGAGGAAACCCCCAAATCACTTTTTCACAAGCAAATTTAAAAAATGATGAATTCATGAAGAAGACATGATGTCGACCCTCACTATAGATTCTTCTTCTCTGCTTCATTTCAAATGAACTGTTTATCAAGTTGAAACCTTCGATCACTGGAAGTAGAGAGAACCCTTTTGTTTAAGTAGAAACTTTCAAAACAAAAGCATGAGAAAAACTGTTTGGAAATGCAGAAGAATTAAATTTCAAAACCATGCCATTAACAATGTTATTAATCGTGATTATCTATTGAAATTAGCTGATTAATCGTGTTTTTTAAATGAATCATTTGACAGCCCTAGTTTTAAACTGAAATCTAACCACATGATGTATCTGTTGATTGGATGTCGTCCCCGTCCCCCCCCCCTCATCACTGTCTCTGAAGATGAACAGCAGTAAACAAATGTGCCTCATTTCATTGTGAAAGCCAGCAGGAGCCTCATCCACTTTGTGCTTTGATTTCTTCTTCTCTTGTTTTGCACACGTTCAGCCTGAACGCTTCAGGGTCTCACCTGGACTCTCGCTGCGTCAGCTCGGCCTGTTTTTATGTTTTCTTTTGTGTTTTTTTTTAAAGCTGGTCCATGATCTGCCGCCAAGTTTCTTTTAGTTTTTTTTTATTTAAAAAAGAACATGATGTGCCTTTTCATGCTTACGTTTGATCCTGCTTCTGTTTTGACTCCCAGCGAGTTTGTGTCCTCGCCTGACGGATCTGTGTTTGTTTGTTTGTGCGTCACTGTCCGGAGCTCAGGTCGAAGTCACTTCAAAATCATTTAAAACGCCATCATGCAAAAAGAGTCACTCAAGCTAACGTCACACATCAGATAGAGAAACTGCTTTCTGCTTTACCTTCCATAAATCAGCTTTAGTGTTCAGTTAAAGCTCCTGTGAGGAACTTTTCTGGGTTTGTTTGGATTTTGTTTGGATTTTGGTGACAAAGCTGATTTACTGATTGTGTTCAGGTGTAAGAAGTGTTTTTGTAAAAATCTCATCCTGCTGTCTTTAAGGAGTCAAATGTCACTTATGGAGAATCTTTGGAGTTGTAAGGTCAAATTAGCCTGTTGCTAACGTTAGCGACACCTACCCTGCGGCGGCGCTTTCAGACATTAAAAATAACTCTACAGAAATAGCCTCTTTATTCTTAGGACTTCATCTGCGTTTGTAGGTCGTAGAGAGTCGTCACTATTGATTTCATAACCAGCTAAAATCTCCTCGCAGCAGCTTTAATTAGAATTCATTGTAGCATTCGATCTGCTATTTAAAACAATTTAAATTCTTTAGGCTCAAACCCTGTGTTTTGATTGGTTTAGAGGAAGTATGCTGACACAGGACTTTTAAATAAAAAGTATGAATCCAGTCTGAACTAAAAAAAAATTTAGTAATATGATTTCCCATTTAGACAAACACTTTTTTTTCAGGTAATAAATGGAGAAAACTAGGTGTTCACTGTTTTTGGAGTATTTAGATGAACTCAGCACACGTTGGTTTTTCTTTTTATTGCCTTAAACTGGATTACTTGCAGCTACTTTTTCTTTCTTTTCTGCACTTCCTGCCTTGTGGGCTTAAGCTGTGATTCTGTCATAAAGAAAAGTCAGAGGTGTGATTCATTTAAAGAATAAGGCTTTCAGAAAATGATAATTTGTGTTTTTTTTTTTAATGTCAACGACTCTCTGTGCTGTCCCAAGTTAGCCAGTCTTTAAATACCTGGACTTTACGAGTTTACTCCAACTCTCAGCACAAAGTTGATTTGTTCTTTATGACTCATAAAAGTTTATTGTATAATTTTTCAAGACATTTGTTGAGAGGAAGAAACACATGTACATGTCTGAATCAGAAAGGTGGTGACTGTAAAAATGATTCTAAATTAATAGAGATAAATCACAGACGGATTTTTTTTTTTTTGTCAAATGAAGCGTCTAAAAAAGATGTTTTAGGGTTTGCTCTCCTCCTCCTCTGTGAGCAGGGAAAGCCTTTCTTTTCTTTTAGTCAGGTTTAGTCACTGCATGCGGTCCGTCACACTATCAGTTGCTTTCCTCGACATATCTGTCTTTCATTGAATGTCTGCATTAGGAACACTTCACAGATATGAAACGATATGTGTCGACTGTCAGTTAGCATTCAGCGTCTGAAACACAGAAGCCGTGATGATTGTGATCCAAGCAGTGGAAGATGATTATCACAATGACAACATGTTTTTTTCTGTTCTCACAGTCCTTGACGAGTAAAGAGGGATATAACTTTATTTTTTAATAAACCCTTTTTTCTGTGACAAAAGGCTTTGACTGTTTTTTGTTGTTGTTTTTTACATCACAGCAACACAGATCGAGTATTTACACCAGTACAGGATAAATAAAGTTATTTTTAATTTTAATGAACATAGTTATTGTATGGTATGTGTATAGTTACTCCACCAATCAGAAGCGCTGACTCGGCTGACCAATCAGCTCACCTGTTTCCTGTTGATGTTTGCTTCCTGTCGTCTCGTGCTGTGAGGAGGACGCTGCTGGAGAAAGTTAAGAAAAGAGGATTTATAAACAGACTTCCACAGATGTCTCTTTTATTGAACTGGAACATAGAGGAACTATTCAACGGAAAAATGTGGATGTTATAAAGCCCTGGGCGACAGCGGCAGGAAGGTAAGCTAACAAGCTAACTGATAACAGCCTAATTAACCGTGAGCGTTAGCATTAGCCTTGTTGTTAATCTCTACAGTGTTTAAAAGTGTGTCTGATTGAAGTTTTTTTCGTATTTGAGTTAAATATATATTTATACAATAAGTTATAATGTTATAATGATTCAGATCGTAAACAGGAATATTTTATATAAACGTTAATGTATACTGCGTCACAGTTTCCGCTATATTGGAGAGCGGAAGTTCCGCTTTTAACGAAATATATATGAAATAATAATAATAATGATTTTAATTGTTGAAATAAATCACAAACGTCTACTTAGAAGTTTAAAGTTTAACCTGATATATGAATATTTCATCTTTCACTCCAGGTGTAGCTACAGGTTACTTTGCACATGTTAATGAAGACATAGATCTTATTGAAGATGTATTGTTGCAGATTTCATGACATCAATGCATTAAGTGTGTAATATATACTTTCCTCAGATCTGCTTTAAACTGCAAATAAAACCCTTCTGTTTCTGGATGAACAGCTTTGTTTGTAATTGAGTGATAATGATTTAAATCAAACTTTTACCTTTGAAAAGTTCACGAATAAGTCATTTATAATCAAGTTAGATTATGTATGTAGAATCTTTACTCTCAAATGATCATTTTTATGACAAAGTGAGGTTTTATTCCTGTTCATCTTCCCTCAGGCAGCTCTCTATATAAACAAGGATGAGGCTCTCCCTAGTGTTTGGTCTTTGTATTGACCAATCATCCACCATCCTGTATCAGTATGTACTGTATATAAGTATATACAATCAGAAAATACATTTTCAGGCTGTTTCTCGTGTGGGTAATCATGCCTTTAAGCACTCAACATAAAATATAGTGTGAGGTAAAGAATTGTTTTTTGCTGTAAGAAAAAATAGAGCAACAGCTAATATCCATCCTCACATGAATGGTGGTTCTTGTCGGTGATGATGAGATGAAATTATTGATCCCTGTGGTGAATAATTAATTTGTAACAGCATAAAGTAATACTGTGTCTTCTGTTCCATATTTGATTATTGTCCATCCATCAGACTGGAGTCTCAGATGACTTCTGACATCCAGGCTATCCTGCAGCTCCTTCAGAGGCAGACCACAGCCGGGCCCCCCGCCTACAGCACTGTCACCTCCAGCCCCGAGTACCAGAGGCCAGCCATCAGGGTCCAGCCTGTGT